GAGAGAGAGAGAGAGAGAGAGAGAGAGAGAGAGAGAGAGAGAGAGAGAGAGAGAGAGAGAGAGAGAGAGAGAGAGAGAGAGAGAGAGAGAGAGAGAGAGAGAGAGAGAGAGAGAGAGAGAGAGAGAGAGAGAGAGAGAGAGAGGCTGGAAACAAGCGTTTGGTTTTAGGCTACGTTCGATCTTAATAAGGGCGGGTTTTACTATGCCAGGTGTGCAGCTGGTTTAGCAGTGGCCTTAGGGTTGCTTTGGGGTGACGCTAAGTGAGTTTTGCATAGTTTTGGGCTGATTTGGGATTGGTTTGTGAGCGTTGCCCAAAGCCGCCAAAACTCCCAACACTCAAGTAGCGACATCGTAAAGCAATCCCAAAGCCGCAGCCGCACACCCAGCACAAATTAGCTCCAAGCCAGCCCCACAACTACTCAAAGCCAACCCTAAACCCACCCAGCAACAGCCAGAATATCAGCCCTTCGCCAATCCCAATTGAACTCTGAACGACAAATGAGCTGAACAGTCAAACCTAAACCCACCCAATGGTGCCGGGAAACTTGAGTCCACACTTTGTCAACCCTGCAACTTCGAGAGAACCAGCTAGGCCCCGTGGCATCTTTGAAAGTTCATGTGGGATGCTGCTAGTGGCATCTTGCCAACCTGGGCATTGCTGCTGGTCGCCCCTGACTTTTGCTGCTGCACGCGCCTAGGTGAAATTGAGAAGTGCGAGCAGTTCCCAGCTGCAGGGCTTACAGGGGGCACGATGCGAAACTGAGCATGTCTGAACAAGACCGTGTGGGAGACAACCCTCAACTGGTTGAGCCCGCTAGGTGGCCTCAAACAAGATCCTAGACGGCTCCCACATTGCGGCAAGACAAGTGTGACAGCCAAATGCTCGGCTTCCTCCCTTCTCCAAGCGTGCCTGCAACGAGGCACCTCCTGCCCGCACCAGCAAGCTGCAAATATCCGGGCGCCCAGCCTGAGCTGAGGCGAAAAGAGTCTGGAGGCCTGCTGGTTCACTTGGCAGGGCCCATTTCTTCCACGACTGGCCAACGTGTAGAGATCGACAAACCATAGAACAAAAGACAGCTCTCTGGACAACTGATGCCAACAAGAAAGTCCAGAAGCAAAAGCTTTGCAACAGAAACAATTGCTTTGAGTTTTTTGTGCGCTCGACTGTCCAGCTTCCGTGAGCGAATGCGCGTGCAACCAGTTAGGAGGCTTCTGTTGCAGCAATTGCCATGAGTTGGAAATAAGATGCACTGAACATGTCAGAACCCCAACCTGAGCAATTTATAGGCGGCCAGTGGCCAACTGCCAATCATTCGACAACAAGCTCTGTGCATCAGTCATGCTCCTGGCTGTACTTGTTGGTCAACCGGAAACTTTGGAACCGAGGGTGTCTTATGTAAGGGGGGGGGGGGGACCCTGGCAGTTACATTTCCAAGGGGCCCAGGAGGGGGTTTGGCAATACCACGCCGGAAAAGCAATGGAACTCCATTGCCTGTGTCCGCTTGTATCGCAAACAATCCTGATTCTTCAGCATCTCTGAGCGGTTCGAAGCCTCCTTTCCAAGATTTTTTCTCGGGTTCCCAACAAACCTTGCAAGGTTGGGCTTTGCCAAGGACCCAAATTTATGATTTCAAGCTGCGTCTTAAAATAGGGCGACCAATTTTTGGGTGGATTGACCGACGCACCCTCGTCGTCGCTCTCACCTTGTCCTGCAGATCCTGCTCCGCCCTCTTCGCGCCATTTTCATTCTATTTTTGCAACCCCCCTCTCTCGTAAAGATTCAATTGCGCAAAGGCATTGCTACTCCCCGCTGCTCCGTGGCTGAGCATATGTGCCTGTTCACGTTTCAGTTCATTCATTCAATTCTTTTGAACAGGACTGAACTCAAATACGAGATACGAACCGGAATAAAGTAAGAACTTGCAATCCGGGTAACAACCGGAATCCGGGATAAGAGCCGGAATCCTCGGTAGGAACTGGAATCCGCGGTAGGAACCGGAGTCCGGGAGAAACCGGAATCCGAATTCGGGGTAGCAACTGGAGCCCGGGGTAGGAGCCTGAATGAGGGGTAGGAACCGGAATCCGGGGTAGGAGCCGGAATCACGTCCATGGCAAGTAGGCACCGGAATCCGGGTAACAGCCGGAAGGTATAGGAACCAGTTCGAGCTGGTAGGAACCGGAATCCGGGGTAGGAGCCGGAATCCGGGGTAGGGGAATCTGGGGTAGGCACCGGAATCTGGGGTAGGAACCGGAATCCGGGGCAGGCACCGGAATCCGGGGTGGGAACCGGAATCCGGGCCGGAATCCGGGGTAGGAACCGGAGTCCGGGCTAGGAACCGGAATCCGGGGTAGGGACCGGAACCGGAATCCGTGGTGGGAACCGGAATCCGGGGTAGGAACCGGAATCCGGGGTAGGCACCGGAATCCGGGGCAGGCACCGGAATCCGGGGTAGGGACCGGAATCCGCGGAATCCGGGGTTGGAGCCTGAATACCGGAAATCCGGGGTAGGAACCGGTAGGAACCGGAGTCCGGGGTAGGAACCGGAATCCGGGGTAGGCACCGGAATCCGGGGTAGGGACCGGAATCCGGGGTAGGAGCCGGAATCCGGGGTAGGTCCGGGGTAGGAACCGTGAATCCGGCGTAGGAACCGGAATCCGGGGTAGGCGCCGGAATCCGGGGTAGGAACCGGAATGGAGCCGGAATCCGGGGTAGGAGCCTGGAATCCGGGTAGCCGGAATCCGGGGTAGGCGCCGGAATCCGGGTGATCCGGGGCAGGGACCGGAATCCGGAGTAGGAGCCGGAGTCCGGAGTAGGCACCGGAATCCGGGTGGGAACGGAATCCGGGGTAGGAATCCGGGGTAGGAGCCGGAATCCGGGGTAGGCACCGGAATCCGGGGTAGGAACCGGAATCCGGGGTAGGAACCGGCATCTGGGGTAAGGAGCCGGAATCCGGGGTAGGCGCCGGAATCCGGGGTAGGAAACGCAATCCGGGGTAGGAACCGGCATCCGGGGTAGGAACCGGAATCCGGGGTTGGAACCTGAATCCGGGGATTCCATGGTAAGTAGGCGCCGGCATTCGGGGTAAGCCGGTAGGAACCGGTAGGAACCGGAATCCGCGGAAAGAATCGGATTCCGGCGTAAGAACCGGCGGGATGAACCGGAACCAATGAAAGACAAAATCCTGCAACGGGACTAGCGGGAACCAGAATCCGCAACAAATGCCGGAAAGAAATCGCAATTCAAAAGGAGCCGGAGCCCAACAAAGGAACCAAAATCCAGCCAAGAAATCAGAACCCGGAAAAAGACACAGGGCTCCGGAGAAGAAACACAAGGAACCGAAGCCGACCAAAACCGACCGAAGCCCAGAATAGGAACCGGAATGCGGGTAGGACGAGATCCATAAAAGACACTGGAATGCAGGAAGGGAACAGGAGCCCGGACGGGCCAAGTAATTATACGTTCTTTTTTTGCGAAAAGGGCCACAATCCTGGGAACCGGCCGGATGGGACTCCTGTCAGCTACCATTGTGCTCAATGTGACTTTGCAGGCAATATGTGAGAATCGAAAGTCACTTTTCCATGAAACGGCCTTCGGGGCAAACTGGCTAACATCACACTCGCATCATTTTCGCAACAGTTCAGTACCTAGCACGTCAAGTACACTTCCGCAGCTCCGGCTCGAAAATCGCAACTTTGTAGTACAAGTCAGCACGCAGTACGCAAAGTACACTTCAGCAGCTCCAGCTTGAAAATCGCAACTTTGTAGTACTGAAGGGCGCAAGCTGTAGAAAGCTGTTGGGGTGCAAAGGGTCATTTTTCACTTCACATCACCTTTCGAGGGTCTCAAGGGCAATTTTGCCCTGCACCCTTTGAACACGGTTGTCACAAATATGGGGAGGGACCCCTTGAAATTGATGACAGGAAAACCTTACTTCGTGCTCTTGGAAAGCAATTCCAAGTTTGGATTGAATCGCTTGTGCCTAGTGGGATTAGGCACTTCAGGCAGCACCTCCGGCAGAAAGGAAGGAAAGGACAACATGCCCGCAGTTTTTTGGGCAAATCCAGCTGAATCGCTTACGCCCAGGCTTAAGCAACTCAGGCCGTCTGGCAGCAATTTTACCAGCCCCCAGCCCAATTGGAATCGCTGCAGTCGAGCCTGAATCGCTTACGCCCACTAGGCTTAAGCTCTTGAAGCGTTTTGAAGATTCTGTCGGCGACCCGAAAAGCGAACAGCCAATTGCGGCTATACGTGTGACCGAGTGTGGCTTGTCGAAGGCAATATGTTTTCGGCTGTTTTCGGCTGAATTGCTTAAGCCTAGTGGGCGTAAGCGATTCAGGCTCGACTGCAGCGGTTCCAAATAGGCTGGGCGCGGGTAGAATTGCTGCCAGACGGCCTCAATTGCTTCAGCCCACTGGGCGTAAGCGATTCAGCCGGATTCAGTTTCAGCCTGACAAAGCCCGGCCTGGTTGGCCTAATCGGGCACACGCTGCCGCTGCTGCAGACAGCTGGGAGGGCTTAATGCCAAAGGCGTAAGCGATTCAGCCCAAAAAGTTCAAGTGGATATGCACCTTCAAGGGATTTTTCCCCGGCGCTTTTTCCCGGCCAAACCAAACGATGCTTTTTGTTACGAACAGAGGGGGGGCTGGCGAGCGCATCAAATGGCTGCTTTTTTTGGTCTGAAGCGGCAGCCAGCGAGGACTTTTTTTTGATGTACCGCGAATTTGCCCACCAAACCGTCTTTGGCTCCAAAGCTTTGTAGCAAAGCTTCTCATATGTTGCCAGGCATCAGCATTTTGGCCCACAGGCGCCCTAGGTCCTGGCTAGTTTTGGCGACGCGAAGCCAGCATGGAGATGAACCCTGGGCAACTGGCAAACTACACAAAATGACTTCTTGACTTGGCTTGCCACCCAGAGACAATCTTGTTCAAAGTTGGCTGCGTGCTGGAGGGCTGCGCCCGTCCCGAGAACGTCCCCGTCGGTCGGTCCATCGACGCAACGGACATAAATTTCACCCATCTTGGAGTCCAGTCTGCACTTCTTTTTCTTTGTGCGTGTCCCAAAGTCATGTCGGTCATTGGACTTGCTTCTTTACTCCTGTGCAGCTATCTCTATATGTATCACGAAAGTTCCTGCTAAACTTGCCTTGGCAACCGTGTATTCCAAAGTAATCCTCAAAATAACCGCAGGTTTGCAAATGGCAGGAGATGAACTGGTGCCAGGACTTCAAGAAGATCAGGGTTCACCAAGAAAGGGAGGAAGAGGATGCGCCGCTGAGTCTAGGCTTCGTGACGGGGCACCGACGCAGTCTTCACTTTGCCTTCCGCTACTTCTTTGAGAAGAATTTGCAAGACCCTGAGTGGTTGCGCTGCATGGGGAAGAGCTGTGCGTTTCTGTGTTCTTCAGCTTCTTCAAATCCCTGACCGACACTTGCTAGCCACACTAGGCATCCCCGGAAAGGTGGTGTGGTGGACATCCGCCAAGCCTGCGTGCCGCAACAAGGGCCTTAGCACAGCGGCCCTCCTAATCGGATGAAGAAGCTGCCTCCCAAATCCTTGCCGGCAGGTTGCGCGGGGTTGCGGCACGAGTGTCGGGTGTACTCGCGGCGATCCGAGGCAACAGGTCCAAGTAGGTCGCCCTGCGACGTTTCATCTGGGGTAGCTCAAACCGTTCCAAACACCCTCAATGCAAACGGAAGTGCCTGGTTTCTGCCATCGTCAAACACAGGAGTTCAAAGAGATGGTGAGAAGCTCTGTGAGCGCACCTTGACCGAGAGAGTTAGTGGTGAACACGTTGAAGCTGATCTCCAAGTTCGAGGCAAGGGAGGGCCTGGGCAGGCTCCAGTTGGCTCCAGTCATCTGTCACCACTTGCCAGTCGCAGGCGGTCACGTGATATTTTTCCAAAACACGGGGTCCGTGAGAAGTTTTTGTTGGAACGAGATGGCAGCTCCCTTCACTTGAGTGTATTTGAGCCAGGACTCATGCCTGCCGATCTCATTCTTCAACACCGCTCGGTACTTGCTGCCCTTCGCGCACCGAAGGTCAGCTGGAAAAACTTTTCTCTTTTTTTTTTTTACCCGCTTCTAGGCATTGCGCAGTCGTAGGGTCGGGCATATGTGGGCATGCGCCGTCGGCATGCGCCGTCGGCTTTCCAGGCGTTGTCGGGTAGCCTGTCGGCGGGAAAGCCAAAAGTAGAACGGTCTTTGAGTGACAGTCGGTGACAGTAGCCCCAACACGTCCCCAACAGCTTTCATGTCAAGGCGTCTCGAGTTGGCTCATCCAAAAGGGATCCTTGCTTCGGCTCTGGGAAAAGCCAAGCACCGCCCCTCCAACAAAAAAGGCGCGCCGTTTAAACCCAGACATGTATATGCGTGTAAATTTGTAAATGACATGCTGTGTCTGTCCAAGCAGACATTTCAGTCGTAGCAAGTCAGAACTGCCATCTCAGACAAGAAGAACGTCAGTTTTTTCAAGCCCAAAGCCGATTTTTTGTCACTGGTTCGTTCACGCAGAGGACGCTCGCAAAATTAGAGAGCGCTCACAGAACGTCTTACGTGTACAAATATTCAATATTCTGCCACTGCTTTCTTGTGTTCCCGTTTGCGCCTTATACACCTGGGGGCCTGTGGGGCTGGAGATTTGGGCAGTTCTGGACAGCTCAGTCATTGTCAGCCACCATTGTTGGCTTCCATAGCAGCCTTTGTGCTTCGTCCGTTTTGAGGTGTTCAACGATGTGGCCTTGGCAACTTTCCAAATCAGTGTGTCCACCAGTTCCTGCCTGTTCTGCGCTGCTCCGTGCTAAGTATAAGCTTGTAGGTTCTCATCGCTGGTCGAAGCCCGATGTCGTACAGGGTCTCGTTACTAGCAGCACGAAAATTGAATCTCCAACTGCTCGAGAAAGAACATCGGTCGTTGCAAGGCTTTGCCGAAACTCTTGTTGTTGTCGGCTGCATTCGCCCAGAAACTGAAGACTCTATGGTAAATAGCCAAAGAAATATGAGAAGGATTGGATGATGGTGAAGCTGGAAACCGCATCTCCACTCTGGAGAGCAAACTTTCAGCTCGTTCACCCAGATGACCGGGAGCTATTATTGAGAGTGTTTGAAACATGGGTGTGAAAGTCGAATGGTTCGGCCAACAGTAAGTTCCAACCGTAACCCTAAACCCACCATAATCGAGGAGAGAAAGCACGTAGTTCCAGTCTTGCCTTATGGAGCCAGAACATGGCCTCGAGGAGCTATATTGTCGATAATCTGCTACACTTACCCAGTCCTTGATTGGAGACAAATGTTGAACTCCCAATTAGCCAGTTGCTCAAGGTCCTCCAAACCACCAAAAACAACCCCAAAAATGTAACTGGTTACATTTGGGACCCCCCCCTGATTACATTGCACTATAAGGACTCCCTCGTTTGGAACACCCTTGTGACGAAAAATATCCCTGCCTCTGCCGCGACGTGAAGTGGGGTGTCGCCTTCAGGCAAACTGGTACATTGCTCTGGACCAGTTCCAGTTCTAGCTGCTTTCTCATTCTGAGCGTAGCCATTGGGCTGACCGAACCAACTATTTCAGCTGAACACACTCTCGATATGAATATATCTATATATATATAATATCTCTACGTAAGAAAAAACATGTGGCGATTGATCCATATTCTTTCTTGGAAAACGCAATCGTTGGGAAAGGAAATCTTTGAAATCTTTCACGAATCTTTCCCCACTCCATCGTCGTGCCCTGTCCTACCATGCAGCTTACAACACTCTTGACACGTTTGCCCTTCTAGCTGGCCAGATGTGCGCCAGCTTGCGACTTTTCAGTACAAGTGACCAACGGTCCAACAAATTGGCTGTTTGCTCCTGGGAAATCCTGCTGTCTAGAAAACACGCAAACTTGTCTAAGCCCAACGCATCGTTTTCAGAGGGCGTCACCCACTCGTGCAAACTATGAACCCAGCACGGAACAGCACAGTGGAAACCGAAGGTCCGATAAAACATGTCTTGGTCTCCAAAAGTTGTCCACTGGCAAAGTCCCTTGAAAGAACGGCCTAAACAAACGGAATCAAGCCTGGCTTATGACAAGTCTACTCCTCGTGATTCAAATGCTTACGGAACCTACATAAATGCTTACGGCTGCACCTAATCTTACTTACAAAGGCTTCTGCGCAACTCAAGTGTGGAAAAGGAAGTGCGCTTTGGCAGCTCCGGCTGCAAAGTCGCAACTCTTCAGCCAAGTGTAGTAAAGGAAGTAGAGCTCCGGCTCCAAACTCACAACTTCTCAGTGCAAGAGTAACAAGTGCCGTAACCGTTCAGTACAAGTGCAGTACATGAAGCACGTTTTGGCAGCTCCGTTTTGAGAAGAATAAAGCAAAGCAAACCTCTTTCGCGACTCCTTCGGCACCAATGTTTCGCGGACCCCTAAGCCTACAGCATGATGGCCCTATACTTTGCGTGGGGGCCCCCCAATCGCTGGCCAATCGCGATCCCGGTGTTCATACATTTTAGACATGCAATTACGGATGGCCCCCACGTAACAAGGCCTTACAAGAACCTTTTGATCAACTCCCATGCGTAGCAAGCAAGTGCTTGTATCGCGTGCTTGAACCTTAAGCACTTGTATGCCGAAATCGATCGCGGGGACACGTTGTTGCAATGGTGACGTCCCGAGCATTGAAAGCATGTTCGTTCACGTGCAGTATGCAATAAGTGAGTCGCTGCAGAGAGCCAAGCATCAATGTCGTCTGCTCTGGAGGATTTGACTGCTTGCTTGCGTGCGCAACCCGCATTGAGGATCGCTGTTTGTAGAAGAAGTCACGCTAGTGCTCTTCTTGGGGGTAAGGGAACGACAGCAAGACAGAAAGCAGCAAGTCAATATGAAGAGAACCGCCTCAGGATGTTTTCTAGCATATCTGCAGCACTGGGCAAGAAACTGATTCGTTTGCATGTAATACAGTCAATTGCTCTCATGGCACATCACCATGAAGACTGTGCAAGAACAATTGCGGCGCTCGAGCACAACGGCATGCTATCAAACCAAGCTTTCGGAAAACAGTCATTGCTATCGGATATGGAAAGCCATTGCCATCGGGAAATGTGAACATAGTTCCCGCTCGGGCGAATCCTCCGAGGGCGCAGCCGTGCCACTTCTTGAGCTCTGGGCGCTGCGGCTTCCCTGGCTCACTGTCACTGCACGCCATCAAGGCAGTCAAGAAACAAACACACAAAAAACAACACGCAATGTGTACGCGTGATGCTTATTTATACACATCTACAAACAAACTGTCACATTCCGAGTATTTAAATGTACAATGGCGCGGGACATTCGGCTTTTCAGTGCTAAGTCAGTTTTACACAACTATCGTCATGGCGTTGCTAAAATCGCACTTAACTTTCGTAGATTGCGCCAGGAGCATGATCGTCACGAAAGCAAGTGCGTACGGCCCTGCTTTTGAATCGCTGCACTGTAATGTGCTTCATGAAGGCGCAATGATGTTGGTCGTTACATCTGAGCATGCCCACTAAGGAGCAACTGGCTTGCTTTCCTGCTTCCTTGCTTGTTTGCGCAATGACCTGTTGCAGTTGCTCAGCACATGCTGCCAATGCGTTGGGAGACGCCGCAAGGCGTCGTACATCTCAGACTTAGCCAAGTCTAACGTGGTGAAATTGCATGTGTTCAACTCGACAACTGCACGCCTTCCACAGCAGCGCAGCTGCAGCGCATGGCAAGCAGTATCCTGCAAGCGCGGGTTGAATACACGCACGCATGATGACATAGGCATCATTGGGCAAGCCGAAGAATTCAATTCAAAGACAAGTCCGCACATGCACCCAGTCAACTTGGAACAAACATTATGGTAAGGAAGTGTAGCATAGAGTGCTTGAAGCTTTAGATGCGCGAACACTTTGCTCTGGTCAACATTGCAAGCTTTTGAGTGGCTCGTCCTGAGAACTTCAATGTGTCCGCCGTGGGCAGCGTACATGGCCGGTGTCCAACCACCAGGGCCTCACTCCCAAGAGCTGAATGAGCAGAATCTGACAATAAGGTTCCCAGGTGTTTGGTGGTTGGGACATGTACACCCTCGACACCTCACAGAACTTCACAGTCTCAAGGGGATCCAGGCGCTGAGTGCCACGCTTGCTTCGTCAATGGCAGCATTTGCCTCACTGCAATCTTGTTTGAGCTCCGCAGTACAGTGCTGGGCTCCAATCTCATCTCTGCAGAACAATTCGGATCACCCAGCACCAGCTATGTGCAAGCCGCACCATTTGCCCATGATGTGCATTTTGTTCAATGCCTGGACACATTCGAGGTCACTAACAATGTAAGAGTGGGACAAACAATAAGCGAGACCAGGACTCGGACTCGGGGGGAAGGGGGGAAGGGTACTAGCTGGATCGGAGCTGATTCCAGACACTGACAGTTCCTGTTTTGTTCGATTCTTTCACACTTCAAGTGTCTGATCCCCAATAGGGCACCCAATCAGCGGAAGTTAGACCCAGCTCTTCAGCCATGAGTCCTATTGCAGAAACAAACGTTACATCTGCCCGCTTCCTTCCACATTGCCAAGCCTTCAGGCTGAGACGAAGGAGGTTCAGGTCTCCAAGTCGTGCTGCCTAGCGGAGGAATGACCGCATCTGCTTCAACTTAGGCAAGAGGCTGTCAGGCACCATTCCTTCCGAACAGACAGACAGACAGACATACAGACAGACAGACGGACGGACAGACAGACAGACAGACAGACAGACACACAGACAGAGATCGACACACAGATTGACAAACAGATTCACAGACTGATCAAAAGTCTGACAAACGGACAAACAAACAAAGAGACAAACAAACTGGCAGCTGGACAAACGGAGAGACAAGGAGGGAACGAGAGAGAGAGAGAAAGACAAACGAAGACGAACAACGATTGAGACAGCCAAACAAACAAAGGCAGAAACAAACAAATTCATCGTTATGCTCTCTCAATACGCCCATCACCAGTGAGGAAAGCAGTCTGCTAGCCCTTTTGCCCCCGTCCACGTCCGCCTCCCAAAGAGTGGCAAACTGCTCCAGGCGCTCGTCACCGCCCGGGTTGTTGCGACGGCACCAGCCTGGCACAAATCGTACGTTGATGGCTGTGAGCGGCATGCCTTTCCCAGCAAAAGGACACGCTCATTCTTATTAATCGTCAGCATGGGTCACAGCCAGCTTGGGCTGCCCCAAGTCGCTGCAAGGGGCCGCCCCAACTGCCGCCCAGCACGGCTAGGCTCCAGTAGACTGTACTTTTAAAGTGGACTGTGCTTTTGGCAGTGTGTGTTTTTTTTAAAGGCACCGCTGTCACAACGCAAGGGCATATGAACGGATGAAGCAGCTCAAACCCAAATCCATAACCCATGTGACATGTCGAATCACACAGCTCCGGCACTCCGAACAACTTCAAGCGTCAGCTATCTGCTTGGCCCGCCTTGGCGGTACAAATACACCTCCTGCGGCCGCCGGCCCTTCCAGTCTCGGCCTCCCTTCAGCCTGGCCGATACGTGCCACTGGGCTGGGAGTACCCATGTGTGCCGCTTTGCATGGCCAAACAGTTCAATCACCTTGCGCCAGTGTGTTGATGCACGGTGACTGGAATGCTGGCCAGCTCTTGCATATTGCAACAAGGAAGTTCTTTATTGGTGCCTGATCTGGAGGCCAAGAAGCATCTGACTAGCTTACACAAGCCAGCACCGCCATCTGCCGAACAACTTCCGCGGCGCTTGAAGCAACGTTATCTGCTTAGGCGCAATGCGCAATTGTCATGTCATGTCATGGCCACCAGACTCCAAGTCTGTTCTGCTGATGTCCTGGTTGAAGAGTTGAAGGGACTGTAAAGATCTGATGTATGCTATAAACGTGGCTTGAAATCAGCACCCTAATCCGCTCTTGCCACGATGGAGGACTCTGTGGTGGTGCCCTTGCCTTGCATGAGAATACAATCCTCCGCCTGCCCAACCATGCGAGCACATGAGTCTGTCAGTTGCCATTCGTTCTCAGCTGCAACCATTGTCCCAGTTCCATGATACAAGCCACAACTTCTATCTTTCTTGACAACAGCACACCAGGGCCTGGATACGTCGGCATCCCATCTGCAAAGGAACTTCACAATGCGGCCTGGCGCATGTGCCAGCATGGCCAAAGCACACGGACAATTTGCAACTCTAAATCTAGAACTTCGTACGCCACAACATAACACGTACTTGAGACAGGTTGTGTTCACTGCGAAACACGATAGGCACTGTTCACAGCCAATCCTCATGACTTAGAATCACAGGTTGGCTATCGGCTCAGTCAATCAAATCTAGTGGCAGAATCTATGTTGTCAGCACAATGCTCATTGCAGCAGGGAGCCCCAAACATTCATGCAACACAAACTTCAGGACTGGCAATGTTCAAATCCACATCCTTGCACCGCTCGCCTCTCCTGTCCAAAAGTAGACATCAAACATTCATTGGACAAAACAACGGGGAAACCAATCAGCATCGCCCAACGCCTGCACTTGGACCAAGGCTGCTTGCCACATGTAATGCATTTCGCTTCATCTTGTCCTGCAAAAGGGCATCACGCAAAATAAGCGCAATGAGTGTCTGTCTATTGGGTCTCCGTGCGTTTGAGGCTAGCGTGTTCCGTGCAGATTTGCCAGACTAAAGTAACCATAAACTTGGGGAGGGCCGCAACTTGTTGGTTTGGAGGGCTTTCAGGTATGGGACGCCGGACTCTTTGGTGGAAACAATATTAGTCCTGATATTCATGCTCTCACAGCGCTCGACAGACCGTCACTCGGAAATGTTTGCGTCACAGAAGCCTAGACGGGGCACGTGGGGTTTAGGCAGGCATTCCAATACATTCAAGGCAAAACTAATTGCAACGCTCAACCGTTGCTCTGTCAAGCGTTACTGCACGACAGGGCATCCACTTCACTGCCATCAGCCCAGTCCTGAGCATAGCAGTCCTTGCATCCGCTCGGCTTGCAACCAGTTGAATGGAGTGTGCATGCCCCAATTTCCGGTGCAATGACTGGTTAAGCCACCACCCGCTTCGTTGGAGGCAGTCTCAAAGACTCATGCTCCATGTATTTTTTTCGTTCAATATGTTCTTGAGGCTGTGTTGCAGGATCCACAAGCAGCGCTAGACTCGGGCCCTTATTGCCAGGGAGAGTGAGCGCTGCCACCGGGCGTCCAACTGTGAATTTTAGCTTCCCGGGCAAGGACCCAAAGTCTTCGTTTGTTGCAGATTGCAGACTTAAATCTGTACATGAATTGCTCTGCGCGCTTCTTTGTTGAATGTCTTTGCCGCTTTAGATGTGTGCCTTTGCGCTAGTCTCCTAAAGTTGATGTATTTTTCGTGTAAGTATTTTATGGGCTTTTCCAAACTGACGGTGTGACCGGCAAAACGGGTCGTGCCACTTGAAAAGAGAACTTGTTCGCCAGTTACGACTATATCCAAACCAACCCGGTAAAAATATGGAATGGAGGATAGAAACCATCTGGAAGCAAAGAGAACAAGCACACACACACAACCAACAAAACATGTGTACGTCCAAATAGGGGACCAACATTGTTGTGCATCCCTTTTGGTGTCACGTACCCTAAACAAATTGACTAAAAAGCACACACACACACAGTCACACACACACACACACTCTCACCAACTCAGGCAACCGGCCCCAACCTGCCCCACCCGGCCCCAACCAAGCCCACGCGGGGCCCGAGGCTGCCCCTCAAATCGGCAAACCGAGGGGCGGCGCCATGGAGCAGCAGCCACACCACCCCCGCCAGGGAGCCCGCCAAACAGGCGCCCAGCAAAGGCGACCTCACAAGCCAAGGGGCTATGGCCGCGGGGGGGGCTGGGGCTTAAAAATAGGATATGGTCCACTGAAAATGCGGTTTTGCTTTTGCCACTGGGTTCAGTATTGAAATTAATAGCCAAAGGGGTGGCTAGGAATTTCTGGCAAAAAAGACGGACCCGGACTCCAACCCAGCAGGGTCATCCTGTTCAAAATGTAAAGAGTCTGGCTTGCTCTGCTTTGTTTAGGGCTGGATGGATACGAACAGAAGACATACCGGTTGTCTCAAGATCCACCTGCTGCTTTGCAGGTTGAAGTGTTCATTTGACACATACCATTGGATGGAAATTGCTCTCAATCTGTCCAAATGTCTGTGTGCGAATCTCCATGTCAGCCATGCGAAGAATAAGGTACGCATGGCAAATGGCGTGTCGACACGTTTTGGAGATCCAAGCTGAGGCGAGGGGCAGTTGAGTATGTGTCAATATATAGGGGGACCTTAAAACTGCTGCTTTTCTGGTCTCCCTTTAAACCAAAACTGACATGGGTACCTTCACACACACACACACACACACGTGTCTGATCAGCCCGGTCAGAAGTTGCACATCACTGAGGCGATTGCATGCCGCGATCATCTGCCTTGTCCAAGTCCAGGAAGCCCATCTGAAGGAGTCGACATCATGTAGGTGGGGATTCATGTCCACCAATGACTTTTGAGGTGATTCAATATTGAAACTCACAGCCTTGTGTTCTCCAGCATGTCTTCTTGCCCAATTACACCGGATTTGCAATGAGGGTGGCCAGGGTTCTCTTGTACAAAGAGGGGCATGATCATAGTACAAGCAAACAAGAACACATGAGCACGTTGCATGGCGAATGCCATTCTGGCAGCAAGGTCCAGAAAACCAGTAATTTGAAGAACAATTGGAAAGCCAGTTTGCAATCGCATGGATTGTTTGACACAACAAGTGCCTGAATCACGAAACCAACAATTGGTCGCTTTCGTCGTATGTTTTTTCCAGCCGGGAAACACAAACAAACACAAACACTGCGCGCATGACGCTTGACCGTGTCTTCTACTGACTGGCCTCCAGCAGCGCATCCAAGCATTGTATGTGGCCATTCGAGCAGGACCAAACATCCTCCTGGTTGTCAAAACAAAGACTGCTCGCTCGCACACCCACTCTTAAGAGTGTGCACTCAAACCTTGCACGCACGACTTCTGTGCAAGTACCAACCAGGCAGCACATGTGCGTTCAAAATGCAACCAACAGTCTCATGTAGGCGTACCTTCCATCCCTGTGACACGCAGATACACACACACACACATGCACACACACACAAAACAAAACAATCACGATCCGTTCGGGGCTGAGCAGGAGAGGGAAGGGGCTGTGGCGACCAAAGTCCAGCCATGTGGATATCAACCCCTGAGCCTCCTGTTCTCCAGCACTTTGTGCCGCCAAATGGGTAGGCGTGCGCCCCATCAGCGAGCTCAAAGAGGTACTGACCTCAACTCCGCAGCAATCATGCCCCACAACCACGATTGCCAAATGCACCAGCAAAATGTGGCAAATGAGATCTAAGGAAGGTGAGACCTTTATTTTGCTACGTGTTGGCTAAGCATGCTGTCAAATCTTCTTTAGCTACCACTGTATCAACTGCCCTGGCTGTCAATTTCCAACCGATGAACTATTAAGCTGGCATATGAGCTATGCTGCTTGTTCACGGGCTTTCCAGGGAGCATCAGCTGCAAGTAAAGCACTGGGCTTCCCAAACTGCCTTTTTGAATCAAACATTGCTTCTGCATTGAAACGACATTTGGCGGCACACCTTCACTCAAGCCAACAGCCATCTTGGCCTCGGCAAGATCTGTGGTCCAGCAATGCGATGGATATCCAGCAGCCTGCACCCGAGCAGAAATACTGACTGTTCAAGCTCACCACAAGCTTGTTTAGTTTGCGCCTGGGTGAAAGTGGAGGGCGCAACTCCCTGTACGTGGGTAAGTAAAGGAGATGATAAACCTGAACTGGGGGAATTGTGTCATCGACTCAGCTGGAATGTTCTCAGACAGGCACATCCGATGCAACCGCTTTGAGAAGTCGCTAACCACCAACCAGATGTCAATTGTGTTGACGCTGGATATAATGATATGCTATTTGTTGTGGTTAACACTCCCTTATGCTGGCCATGATCAGCCATGGTCCTGAACAGCACTCCTTGTCACGGCTGTCTAATTTCTTTGAAGGGGTCCATGACTCCATGACCATCCTTCCCAAGCCAAAGCAAAAATGTGCTTTGTCCATTGCATAACATAGCTGAACATACCCACGCGTATTGCCCCTGAATTGCCCAACAAGGCATGAATCAATACACGCTCTGCTCCACTGATTGTGATACATATATATATTCGCCTCGGCCCCAAAGGGGCCAAGGGCGCTCAGATCTCTTCTCCAAAGAGAATCTTCGCTTTTCCCCTCCCCCAACCAAAATTTTGCCCCCACCCTTTTTCCCCCCACCCATGTCGGCTGGCCCAAAATCCTGTCCGGCGGGCCTTGAAATTTTCGGGGTTCGTCGGATGTTTGTCAAGAATTTGTGCTGAAAAGCATGCCTAGCAACCCTGCTGGCCAGGCCTGTCAGCCCAGCCCACCCAGCCTCAGGCCCAGCTTGTCTGAACAGGCCCAACCAGAAACCCGCCCCAGCAAGCCCAGCCCAGCCCAGGCCCACCAGCTCCCAGCCCACCAGCAGGCTCAGCCCAGCGTGCCAAGTTTGTCTAACGTGTCTGAGACTGGCCAACGACCAGTCTCACGTGTCTGAGACTGGTCTCAAGCTACGCCAGCTACTAAGCCTGTCTGACGTGCCCCTCAGTCCGGCTAAGCAGCTCAGCCCAGGCCGACCTCCTGTCGCGTCTGCCCCCAAGTCATCCAGCAGGCCAGCCCCTTCGGCGCAGTCTGACACTGGTTTGGAGACTAGCCTCAGGCCCAGTCCCTCGCCCGCCTGCTGGCGTGTGCCGCCACCCTATGAAACAGGCCTTGCCCATCCAGCAACCCGCCCAAGCACAGCTCAGCCCAGCCCGTAGTCCGGCTGCCCGGCAGCCCCGGCGCATCTCAGGCATGCCAGCCACTAGGCCGGCCCCCAGCTCCCAGCTCAGCCCATGCCAAGGTCAGGCCTCAGGCCAACACGTGTCTGAGACTGGTCTCGAGCTACTAAGCCTGTCTGACGTGCCTTAGGTTCTCAGTCCGGCTGCCCAAGCAGCTCAGCCCAGGCTGGCCAGGCCTTGACCGCTCGCATCTGGCCCCAAGTCATCCAGCAGCCCCTTCGGCAGCGAGCCTCAGGCCCAGTCCCTCAGCCCGCCTGCTGGCGTGTCTTACGTGTCTGCGAGTGGCCTAGGCCCAGCCCAGCCAGCAACTCGCCACCCAGCCTCAGGCCAAGTGTGTATGAAACAGGCCTTGCCCATCCAGCAACCCGCCCAAGCACAGCTCAGCCCAGCCAACCAGCAGCCGGCTGCCCGGCAGCCAGCAACCCGCCCATGGCTTCGCAGCCTCGAGCTTCAGGCCCAACCCACCTCAGCCCAGCCGCCCCGGCGCATCTGAGGGCATGCCCCAGCTCCCCAGCAGGCTCAGCCCAGCGTGCCAAGGTCAGGTTTGTCTAACGTGCCTGAGACTGGCCTCAAACCAACGACCGCTACGCCAGCTACCAAGCCTGTCTGACGTGCCCCAGCCCCCCAGTCCGGCTGCCCAAGCAGCTCAGCCCAGGCTGACCAGGCCTTGACCTCCTGCTCGTCTCAAGGTATGCCAGCCTGAGACTAGCCTCACGCCCAGTCCCTCAGCCCGCCTGCTGGCGTGTCTATTGGTTATATTTTTCCGGGGTACTTAAGCAAATGGAGGTTTGTATTCCCACCATGTACCTGTCTTGGGCTGAGCAACCGAGCAAGAAATGTATGTCATGGCAAGCCGCCAGCCACGTGAAATGGAGGTGCCCAAACACCCAAAGTTGGTCTTGGTTGTTCAGTGACACCAATTATTGTTCCCCTTTTTATAGAGGCCAAGCCCCACTAAAAATGCTCATCCCCAGAAAGAGGTCCTTTTTTTTCCAAGGGCACTGAGCAGCTGAGATAGTCTTGGTTTTGGATTTCAAACCTTCCGAGCAGGACGGCTTCCGAACATCGAACTAGCACGGGCGAACTGGTGCGGTCACAAGCTTTCAGTAGGATTCGGACCTTCCCAACACTGGATTTCGGTGTTCCTGACCCTTCCCTCAACGAGGCGGGCAACGCGAAGCGTTTACAATATATTAATTCTTCCAGCACCGGGTAGGTCGAGGGACGGTCACTGGCAACAAGTTCCCTCTCTTAGTTATGCTTAAGGGTTGTCAGCAAGTAGCGGTCAAAACTCCCTCCTCACCGGCAAACTCAGGCCCTGCCTCAAAGTCTCGTGGACCTTTCATCCCCACCTGGGCTGGCGGAAGGCAGGGCATTCAACCGGCATGGGCAGAAAGAAGCCAAAAGCATCCTGTGGATGGACATAATTCAGCTGCCATGGTGTCACATCCATTGCATTCAACAGCCGCTCCGCTGTAAAGTTCAATACACCTTGGACCGAAGACAGTCATGATCCTCTGTCTGAGATGTCTGCAACTCGACTCATAAAGAAGTGGCTTAGACTTGCAAACCGTCGCTTGCAACAGAAGCGCTTCTTCCATCAAGCAGGCAGAGGTGACAAGCGCACATCATAGTTTCTTGCTGTAGCTTGCGTGCGTGTTTCTCCTGACAGACGTTGTCGACAACCTACACATGTCGTGCTGAGTTTGTTAGGAATCTACCAGCGTTGAGTTGGAGACAGCGCAACCACAATCCTTCCGAAGGCGGCTGAGGCGCCACACCTTCTTCGGGAACCCAGGCTCCTCGTCAGAGTTGCGGGTCCATGGAAGTGACTCCCCCGAACTTGTCCTGGTTGTTTAAAGGGCAACCGCATCCCAAGAGGGCTTTTTGGGAACTCCTCAACATGTTCACACACCAAAAAACAGTTCTACACTCCCTTTGCCCTTCTCTGGAAGGGGCACATTTCAAAGGTAAGGCTAAGCCGCCCATTGCCACTGTTCCAAGCACGGAATGGTATGTCTGGCTGTCAGTTTGTGCCAAGACTTGTTTTTTTCTGTCCTTGGCAAAGCAACTCTCTGTGACAAAGTGCTGGAACTGAACCTTGTGATACATTATGCTTCCAAATAGCAGGTCCACTGGACATGGACAATTTGTCGGTGGCCACTCAGTTGCAAAGCCGTTTGGTAGGTGTATCTGCGGCATCCCGCAACCTTGTCAGGCAAAACTGTACACCGTACCCAGGCAACTCGCAAAGAGTTTTGTCAAGGGCCTCAAGCTGCCCAAATCCTAAAGCAGGGACTCGCTGAAACCAAACCACCTTTGAATCTCAGGGACTCGCTTGCGCAATGCATCTTCCTTGTTTGGTGCCTCCCGCCTCCCGCTGTGTTTTTGGGTCAAATGCATTCCCCTCTGCACATAACACGCATAAAATCACTCAGCATCAGAACACTGTGCCAAGGAAGCCTCAAAGCGAGAAAGGACAAGGGAGACCCGCAACAGCGCCGGTGGAACCCCCCGGCCGGCCTGGCGGAAGCCCACGGCGCACCAGCTGGGCGGCTGGGACCTCAGAGGCTCAACCATGGCATCGGGCAGGCCGGGCACTGGAGTGCGCTGTTTGGGGACAGCCTGCGCTCTGGTCTCAGATTTCCTTGCCTTGGCCCTGATAATCCTGATATCCCAATTTGACAAGACTGCTGCGCACCATCCAAATCGAGGTGGTGGTTGCATGGGCGCCAATGAACCACATTTGGCCGACTGCTCCGATGCGCCAGCTTCATTCGAACTGGCGGAAGACATGCAGAAATATTTTCTCGAAGTTGCTGCAGCGCTCTTCAGCACAGAGCTGCAGCTGAGTTCCATGCACTGGCCGCTTTTCAATGCCGGACACTCTGTCCTGCAATCACGACGCAAATGCCAAACATTCCTGCTGCAGTAAACGCAGGCAAAGGACAAACAACGACAAGCGTGGTGCTGCAGGCTGCAGCTAGCAACTGCCCTCCTGCTCGCGGCCCTTCATGGGCTGGTTCTCCTGTCGCAAGGGTGAAATGCGAGGTGCGATGGAAAGCCATGAGATGCGATGGTTCGCGATGCATTTTCTCTCGTTCACTTCGATGGATCTACCGGCTGTTTGTCAGAAGGGTCCTTGCCGTCGCTGTACGGCAACAACTGCGGGTGCAATAGCCTGGCCTCCGGGCAGAAAAATCAGATCCTCAACAAGATTTGGAACACTTCAGGCAATATCTCGCAAATGCTTTGCTACCCCTCATTTCTCCTTCCTCAAGTTCTGATTTTGTGACCCAAAGGATGCGGCACAAAGCTGCTTATGGAGAATCCCCAGATTGCCAATGATTCCCGTTTGAGAAAACAAAAGAATTGCAGTCCAGCCAAGGACTGCAACACGGACTGGGACTTACCAGGAAACTGTATGGAATTTCTGCATGCTTCATAGAATCTTTAGGGTCCCTTGTGAGAAGAGAAGGGATTAAGAGGAGTAGGCATCACAAACAACTTTGCAAACTTGCGTGGCAAACGTGCTCAATGACAAATTAATCAACGGACATGTCCGGAATGTGTTGCGCACGTGCTTAGGTATTTGAAGTGAACAATATTTTGCTGCGCATTTTTGACTTGAGATATCAATGTCAAAGGAGAATCAAGGCATGGTACTGAGCTACTGTGCACCGGGGGTAAGTTCGCCATATCAACTGATGTCTGCAGCATTCCCAAGTGTTCCTTTTGAGAAAGTGCATCGGTGCAGTGATTTGCCGTCTACAGAACCACGTTTGCTGAGAGATGTCAGTTGTCAAGTGCCGGAGTTTCTTGAGAAAGAAACATATACAGGAAGTACTACTTGCATCGCGTGCAAATATGCCCCGGAGGAATAGCTTTGAAGTTGAAGAGTGACCAAAGGTAAATGGTCAGGGATTTACTGGGCAGCATCTTGGTTCTTGGTCCCCTGAAAGCCTTGAATCGGGCAGGCAAAGAGTTTGCAGAGCCAAGATTGGAGAGTTTGCAGCAAGAGCTTCACAGCGCTTGGCTTTTGGGTTGCGCTGAGTGCTCAATACAAGTAGTTCTTCGCAGCCTGCCCATTCCAAGCTAGAAGGCCTGAAAACCAGCATTCATATTTCTGGATGTTCGCACCTGGGGCATGTTCAGCACTCCAAATTACTAGAAGCATGGTGTCAAACTTGCAGACATGTTCTTTGCCGTTTCGACGAATATTCCCTCCCTCTGCTTCCCAACCTAAAAGCTTCAAAGCGAGAAACTTTTTGGATTGGGAGTTCAGTGGGCAAGATTTGCTGAGAGAGTCCTTCTTGGTTCTTGGCTTTTGATCCCCTGGAGCGGAGCTTTAATGTTTTGTTTGAGTATTCGTTTGAGCTGGCCCAGTATTCCTTCATAGTGGCTGAGTAGTCTCTAGAATTGGTGTAGCATTTGTTTAGTATTCCTCGGTACTGGCCCAGAGGTTGTTCTTGTCTCTATTCCTCCTGTTAAACATTTCTACTTGGCTGCTTGGGGCCTCAGCTGGATTGGCTTAGTAGTGATTAGATGTGTTTATAATAAGTTTAGTATTGCCAGAGCTTGGAATCATTTTGCTTGCTTGTTTCTCACCCCAGGAAAACTTGTTTGAACTGCCTCCACATTTACTATTCGCCATCCGACAATAACGTGCGCTAAAGCCAAGTATTGCTTCCACAAGATGAGCTTAAGAATTGGGCCCAAAGCAAATCACACATGATGTGCAAGTTTCAAATTGCAGCAGGGCGCCCCCGTGCATAATATGTAGACATATTAATTTGCAGGTTATCTGGATGACGATCCAGGGATGCCAAGCATCAACGGCTCTATTCAACAGAGGACACGCAGCTGGAACTGTGCTCATACCGTGGATGGACGAAATCCTGCACCACTTTGAATCCAGAGGAAGCCATTGTTGGTTGGTCTTTACAGGGGAATCATCATGCCTCGTCCATCCACAGTAGCACTGCAGTGGGAAGTTCGGTTCGGGAAATCATGGTTGAACCACCATCAGCGGATGTTTACTTGATCTTGCTCCCTAAAAAAAAACATACTTGATCTTGCTCCCTAAAAAAAACAAAAAACACTTACAACATCTCAGGTTCTTAGTGGGGCTGGCTGCCTTGACTGGCATGGCGTTCAAACAACCAAGCGGAATTCGCTCCTTTGGCAATTTTCATCGGTCCACGAATCTCTGCTCCTTCAAACATGTTTTTCACCCCGCCTGCGTGAGCAGGATCCTGAGCTCTGCAGCCTTGCCCCAGGCGCAGGCCACATGCAGCGATGTCCAGCCGTTGGCGTCCGCCACGCAAGGGTCCTCGGGGAAAAACAACAATCTCTTCGCAACGCGTCGGTGCATGGCACAAACTACTTCTTGCGACCGCATGCGTGTTCACAATTGCCTGATATTTCTATTAGTACTTCAAAGTGTCAGGGAGCAATTGGTATGCTTGCAAGCATCCAAAACATTGGAGACCGACTTTCTAGAGAACAAGCGGTATAAACCATTTTGGGGGCACACATAAATCCAGCGGGGTATGTGTCTCGCAGCGCTCCAAGCTCCAAGCGCTCTCTGGGTGGTCCTCGCGCGACACATACACATGCGCGCAATGAGCCTTGAACATGCCAAAAACCTCAAAACAACCCTAAGCCAAGTCTCCATCAACATTGGAACCAATCCAGTATCAAACTGAATTCTTCATGATTTGCAAGCTGGGACCATGGGTTGTCAAAATTTTGCCAGATTGTGTTCGTTCCCATGCACTCGCCATTGGCTCATTCAAGGACCAGGTGCAAACCAACGCGGCTCGGGACTGCTACATCAATGTCTACGTGGACGACCTGTTGGTGCTGGGCGACAAGACGACCGTCGACTCCACCTTCGAGGCAATCCAACAGGTACTGCTAACACACGTTGGCTACCTCGGCTACCTCGAGCCCGGCAAACCCCCCAGTTGGGAAGAAACATCGAGCGCTTCGGCCACCGCACTGGACCTCAGGACTCCTACATCAACATAGAGGAAACTGGAATGAACTGCAATCCTGTGGCAACTCCAGGAACTCACTACAACGCAATGGAAGACGAAGCACTCAACCACAAACAACACAAAACGTACAGAAACTACAATGGTTAGCCTACACACAACCAGACATTGCCTACGCAACAAAACAAACTAGCACGAGACCTCACAGCACCTACAGAACTTTCACAAAATCGAGTCAAGCGCTTACTACGTTCCTTGCACGGCACCAAACACTACAAGTTCACCATAGAATCAACAGCAACACTAAGAGCAAACACAAAGAACATCCTGGACCTCCACGTGTACGGCGATGCGGATTGGGCAGGGTGCCCAACTACCAGGCTTCAACATCCACTTTCTTGGAACAACAGTTGCATTTGGAACACAAGCTACAATAGCACTGAGTTCAGCAGAATCTGAACTCTACGCAATTTGCACAGGAGTTAATGAAGGACTACGCCTCAGAAACTTCCTACAGGAAACAAACGTTTGCAGCAAGCTAAACCTACGCATCCACACCGACTCCACAGCAGGCAAAGCACTGCTACACAACAAGGAATAAGCAAACGAGCAGAACACATCGACCTCAAATTTCTCTACACACAAGACCTCATCAAACACGGCATCATACGAATTTGCAAGATCAACACACTTCACAACAACGCAGATTTGTTCACCAAACACATCAGCAAAGAAACACTACAACGGCTCATCCAGAGCATCTGCATACGCATTTAGCACTACGAACGACCATCACACAACTGTTTCACAACAAGTCCAACCAGTTGTATGCTACATGTAACATGTTGAAAGTAAGTAACGGTATCTACATGTCATGTCACTTGCACATTTGGCGGCTTGGAAAACACCACATTTGTTTGGTTGCATGTCTGCGCGCTTTCTGTTAGCCACTACATCGGCTCTTTTGCACTTCACTTCGAATTAGGTCACTACAGCCACGGATCGTTTTGCAGACCTTTCCACTACAGCCCCTGAGGATGAGGTGGCGATGTCCACTACACCAGAGGCTACGACGCAAACTACGGCAGTTGGGACTACTGCGCCACTACTTGTGCACAACTTCAGTCCCACTTCACTCAGCAACAACAGGCCACTGCAACACCATCTCAACTACAACTTGCAGTACATCTACAACTCCAGCGACTTCACTGCAACTACCCAACTACTGGCAATGCCAACAGTTCCAACTACACCATAACACACCAAGTTCTACATTCCACTCATTGTGGAAGACTACTGCTTCCTTACTACTGGAGGCGATGATGCCACTACTGTCAACCAGTTCTACAAAATGGCCAACTCAAGCACTGTACCCTACACTCACTCCCAGAGCCTACCTACAGTTGGCTGCAAATGATGCACACTGCTTCAGGTGCCGACTTGTTGCATTACTTCGGCGTAACCGAAAAACTACAAACCACATCAATCACTACTTGCACATCACCATTGCACTACCGACCGGCTACACAGCAACTTCAACCTGACGGTTCCCTCTTTTGCATTCAGTTGAGAGATACTACAGATCTTAGAACTGAGGGGCCGTGCCCATGTACATGTTGCACTACTTGATCCTTGTGCATACCTTGTGCACTACCGCAGGCCTTGAGCTTTTCTCTTACTACATGCGAGCCCATGAGACAATAGGAACTGTGCAGCTACAGGTTTGACGAATTGTGATAACAACAGCCCTTGCACTTGTAGTAAACAACAGTCTCAATTTAAAAGAGAAGAGAGAGAGATAGAGAGAGAGAGAGAGCGAGAGAGAGAAAACGAGATAAAAAAGAAAGAAGGACGCAAAGGGATATCTGGGAGGCCCCGAAGATAGCCAACTGCATCCTACTGGGCCAGCGGTACAGCTTAGCGGAAAAGACGCCAGGAAAGACCCAGGCCAATCGCATCACGGTGACTGATGTTCCGCTTTGGGGTGACCATCACACTGCGAGGAAGCACTTCAAGGCTTGGCAGGGGGCCGCTCGCTGTACGGCACAAGGAGGTGTGGCCTTGAGGTGAGAGGTGCGAGGCATTGTAGGGAAAGCACTAATAGTGAGCGGGGGGCACTGAAGGTGTTTCTCCCTTTGTTGGGCTTGTCCCAAAAGGGGGGGGTGCATGGGACATCTCACTTGTAGCATCACCAAAAGACCCAATTGCCCCTCACCGGCGCTGTGTTTGGGTGCATGCGTTCATCATGGTATGTCTCAAGCGGTGGATACCAAATGGGAACCAAAGCACAACCTATGGGGCGGGGCAGTGATTTGTAGGTGCGCCTCATTGGGTACCTTGTACTCTGGGCAGTCGCCTCCCACCCGTGGCAGCACGTCCAAAGCTTCCTGTAAAAGCTTGATGAGAGCACCCTTTTCGCTGCCTGCGCACGGAGTAGCGGGCAAGTTGTAAAACTGACAGATCTCAAGGAGGGGATGTTCATCTCAGGTGCCAGACGATGCCTACAGTTTCAATCCAAGCACACACCAACACATTCATTCACAGCATTGAAAAAGGAAGTAGCATAGCAAAGGCCACGCCCATGTAACATAAAGACTGAGTCATGGTGAACTGAAAGGCAGTGCCACAAAGCCTGTTCGCTTGACAGGATAACTCACAACTTCGTCAGGCAGCGACCATCTGCATGCCGATGCATTGACCCGCTATCAACTGATCCGCTAGCATCCGTAACAGCTGCCAACTGCTGAATCCGTTATGACACGGCTGGTCCGAAACCCTCACGTGGGTGGGAAGGCACATTGGCTCCCTCAGAAGCACAGTGACCATGCCCGCCGTCCTTTTCCTTGCCCATGGATAAGGTTGGTCGACTGTCATAAAAGACATTCTGCTCAGAGGTGCAGTGCTGGCTAAGCAGCAAGGACAACATCCTTTGTTGTGCTTTCAGAAGTCATACCAAGGTACAACCGTGCCTTGCTTACCCCATGCCAGGCAGGAAGACAGGAAGGATGCGCGTCTTTCAATGCGTCCGAATGCCCAGGTCCTGCCTTGGCTGGCCACGTGCAGCGGGCTTCGACAAAGTGCTCCCTGGCCCCTGGGCGTCGCTGCTGATTTGTGCTGAGGATGCCTATTCAAACATGAGGCGCTGCTCCTTAACTATTTAAGACAAACAACAAGCGAACACGTTTTACAGCGGCCATCACCTTGAATGCATTCCCACACGTGCCGTCCTGACTCAGGCAACTTGGCAACACAAATCCGCCGACCCCATGCCTGGTCCAGAATGGACCATGCTTTCGGCATGGGGGCGGTGTGTTCTGTGTTGCTTTTGTTGATATGCTTTCTATAAGTTTAATGTGAATATGATTATGTATATATATATATATAACCTATATGTCCCTTGGGGCGGCCCTTGGGGCTGGTTTCTACGTCGGCTGGATTTCTGGATTTCTGGATTTCTGGATCTCTGGATTTCTGGATTCAGGAATTCTGGATTTCCCCACCCCTCCCCCCCCCTCCCCCACCTCCCCCCCCCCAGTCCTTCCGTAGTCTTCCGTAGTGTTCCGGCTTCTTCCCGTAGTCTTCCGTAGTCTTCCGGCTTCTTCCAGTAATCTTTCGTAATCTTTCGGCTTCTTCCCGTAATCTTCCGTAGTCTTCCGGCTTCTTCCCGTAGTCTTCCGTGGTCTTCCGCCTTCTTCCCGTAATCTTCCGTAATCTTTCGGCTTCTTCCAGTAGTCTTCCGTAGTCTTCCGTAGTCTTCCGGCTTCTTCCCGTAATCTTCCGTAGTCTTCCGTAGTCTTCCGGCTTCTTCCCGTAGTCTTCCGAAATCTTTCAAGCTTCTTCCCGTAAATTTCCGCAATCTTCCGGCTTCTTCTCCTAGTCTTCCGATACTGTTTCGGGACCAAACAACGCGCGTGTCCTGGGCTTTCGGGCTTCTTCCCTAGGCTTCGGGTAGTCTTCCCCCACCCCTCCGCCCCCCCCCCTGTGTCTGTCTATGTCTGTCTACGTATCTGCATCTGTCTTCGTGTCCGCGAAGACCCCCCCTGCCCCTGCGTGTCTGTCTGTGTCTCTTTGTGTCTGTCTGGGTCTGTCTGCGTCTGTCTCCTTGCGTGTCTGTCTCTGTCTCTTTGTGTCTGTCTGTGTCTGTCTGTGTCTGTCTACGTATCTGCGTCTTTCTTCGTGTCCCCCCCCCGCGTGTCTTTGTGTCTGTCTGGCTCTGTCTGCGTCTGCCTGCGCATCTGCGTCTGTCTTCGTGTCCGCGAAGACCCTCCCCCCCCGCTGCGTGTCTGTCTGCGTGTCTTTGTGTCTGTCTGTGTCTGTCTACATATCGCGTGCTTTCTCTCGTCCCGGGCCGAAATTCTAAGGTGTGTGGGGGCGGCGGAACCAGGCCGCAGGCCATTAAATAGTTCAGACATAAGCAACACTCGCGACAGATTCAGATTCAAACGCCCCCTTCTTTTCTCCCTGCCGAATATGTGTTTGAGGCTGGTTGGTTGGCCGTTCGAAGAGGAGGCTCAGTAAAGACGGAGGTGCGCCGTGAACCTCCTGGTCACTTCCCAGTCCCTACGGCCCTAAGGGCGGCATCATCTTCGATGACGCCTGCCGAAACCTTCTGCTGCCAACCCCAGCCTGCAATTTCTGCAAAGGGTGGGTGGGAGGGTCGCAGCTCAGACAGCCTGCCTGAAAGACCCCCAAGCGGCAGATTTTGCAGGTTCGCGACAGCGTGGGGAGGCAAACAGCAAAGAACTGGCAACGCTGCCACAACGAGTCCAGGTTTTGCCTTTTCCCCACACTCTGCAACCAGCAAAAGGGCATGCCATGCACTATATGATTCAACAGCAAGCCCGGCAAGCTGCCGGGACCCCGCCTGAGCAGGGCCAAATGCCAATACCCAGAAACATTGGATCTGGAGAAGCCGACAGCAAAAAAAACAAACAGTGAAACATGTTCGCGGAAGCGCTTCTAGCTGGGATCTGAAAAATTGTGTTGCTGGAGGTTGTGCTAGAGGGGTAGATCCATGAGAACCCAGTCGAGGCCAGGCGGGCTTTTGCACAAACTTCTATTGACCTGAAGGTTCCTGGATGCCCTCGAAACAAACTATATAGTCGGCTTTCGACCGACCCCTCTTTGACAACCCCGAAGGGTGACACTGCGTGATAGAAGTGGCCGAGATTCAAACAATTCCTACATGCAGGCTGATGATCTTGGAGACAGCCTCCAGTCAGGAGAATGCATGCTGACAGTCGATCAAACGCTACGGTGCCCTATTGTTAATGGCCGTTACGTGTGTCTATGTCACTTGCATGTTGCTGCCTCTCTTCCGCTATACGTTATGATTCAGCTAAAAGCAAACCCCTGCGATGCATACACAAGATCGTTTCATCCCGGTTGCAAATGCATGCTGCGGCCTCACAGTTGGTATGGCGCTGGCCGATATCAATACCAGGCCAATCAAGACGTGTGGCCGAAACTCCGATGACGTCAAACCCAGGTAAGTACCCCACCTTGTGCGCACCCTTGCCACCCCCACTTGTCCGACGGACACGCGCAGAGACAAACACAAACAAACAAATAGGCAAACACACACAAAGGCAAACACACACACACACAGAAACACCGAGACACAAAACACACACAAACACAAACAAGCACAAACGCGCACGCACACACACACAAACACGCGCGCGCGCACGCACGCGCACTCGCACACACGCGCACGCGCACACGTACACGCGCATGCGCACGCGCATGCACACTCACACGCGCACGCACACACACACACACACCAAAAAAAGAACAAACACACACAAAGAAACACGCGCACAGACACGCAGAGAACAAAACCCACAAACCACACAAACGCACAAACACGCAGGGGCACAAACACACAAGGACGCAAACAAGCACAAAACGCAAGTACACAGCCCGCAAGCACACAAGCGTACAAACCCGGTCGCAGAAACACAAGCGCACAAGCAACCAAACACACAAGCTCACAAGCACACACGCACAAGCACAAACAGAACACAGACAGACAGACACACAGACAGACACAGACGAAGACACTCAAACACGCACACACGAACGCACACACGAACGCACACACAGACACAGACACAGACACAAACACAAACACAGACCACACACCACAAACCACAGACACTCACACTTACACCTGCTCACGCTCTCACTCACACTCGCACACTCCCTCTCCCTCTCACTCTCTGTCTCTGTCTCTCTCTCTCTGTGTCTCTCTCTCTCTCTCTCTCGCTTTTTTTCTCTCCGAAACTCTAGCAAAAGCAAAGCCAACCCTATACCAACTGCCCCCTACCCTCCCCCCCCAAACAACAACAACAACGACGACGACGACGACGACGACAACGACAACGACAGCGAAAACAGCAACAACAACAAAAACAACATCAACAACAAGAACAACAACAACGACAACGACAACAAGAACGACAACCACAACAACAACAAGAACAACGACAACGACAACGACAACAACAACAACAACAGCAACAACAACAGTAACTGTAACTGTAACAGTGACAGTAACAGTAACACCAACACCAACACCAACAACAACAACTACAACAACAACTACTACTACAACAACAACAACAACCACAAGAACAACGACAACGACAACGACAACAACAACAACAGTAACTGTAACTGTAACAGTGACAGTAACAGTAACAGTAACAGTAAGAGTAACAGTAAGAGTAACAGTAGCAGTAACAACAACAACAACAACACCAATACCAACACCAACACCAACAACAACAACTACTACAACTACAACAAATACAACAACAACTACAACAACAACAACAACAACACAACAACACAACAACACAACAACACAAAACAACACAAAACAACCACCACAACCACCACAACAACAACAAGAACAACAACGACAACAACAAGAACAACAACAACGACAACAACAACAACAACAACAACAAACAACAAACAACAAACAACAAACAACAAACAACAAACAACAAACAACCAACAACCAACAACCAACAACCAACAACCAACAACCAACAACCAACAACCAACAACCAACAACCAACAACCAACAACC